TATAGCAGACGCGCGTGAGGGTCTCTGACTGAGCTTCAGGAGAATATTTATCCCATGTGCAGGAAGGACACGTGTCGACGATGTATTGGGTGATAGCGATAACCACCTCTGCCAGCTCCCAACGCCTTGCGCCACCTCTGACATGTGCGCGGCGTGTCAGAGTACGGACGGGTAGCTTGGGCAGCCAACTTAGCCTTATCCGGGCAGCTATTAGGGCAGGTATCTCACCCCTATATAAAGGGGGTGAGCCTTTCTTCCTTAACACATTCTATTCATTCTCTAAATTCCAGTATACTCATACACATACTTACTTAAGCATCGGAGGCTCTTCACCGGACCCAACCCCCGGTGTGAGAGTTATTTGCAGGTTTCCGGCGTTCTACCGGCAAGGACAAGGACCGATCTACTCCAAATCGGACCCGGACGCTTACACTTGCAGTAAGTGGGCTGAAGTGTGGCATGTTTGGCTTAGTCATTGCCGAGGTGGCGGCCATGCACGGGCTTTGTCATCGCCCGTGCATGCGTGGTGCGCCGTGTGTGCAAGCAAGGAGGTGAATCATCACCCCACTTGCACACCCAACTTCATCCTTTTACATTTCCTCACGACTCAACAAGTACTTGGGATTTGGGGTGGCTTAACTTGATCATTGTGCTTAGTGTTGCATAAGCATGCGCTTAGCGCCTAATGGCGCGCGCTGCATGTGTTACGCGTAGCGATGCGCGCTACGCGCGTTCGCGTGCGCGGCTGTACGCACGGCATGCGTGCATGAATACATGAACGTGCACATACTTAGTGCAATTCATGACTTAGACTAGTTTCAACTTACAACTTAATTCCGAACATGCTGAATTATCAATAATTAATCCCGATTAATAACATCCGTTTATAAAATAAACGGTTCAGAAATTAATTATCGAATTAACTCGGTTAATAATTAACCAGATAACCTTTTCGACTTAACGTCGAACGTATTCGCTGAAAATGAACGGAATCGATAAAAGATAATACATCATTCTTATTAACAAAGAGTTGGGTTATTACAACCTACCCTCCTTAAAATATTTCCGTCCTCGGAAATATAAAACAAAACATATATACATGAAAATATACATATCAAAACTGAAAGTCGGGAAAACGAGCGCGAATGTCAGCCTCTTGCTCCCAAGTGGCTCTGTGGCGATCCCACTGAATACGAACGAGGGGAACATTACGCTTCCGGAGCCGTAAAACCTGTCGGTCTAACACAGCTACCGGTCGCTCCTCGTAAGATAAGTCTGGATGAATCTCAATATCAGTATGAGGAATGACATGATCGGGGTCGCACACGTACTTGCGTAACATAGATACATGAAAAACATTGTGAACACTGGATAACTCGGGAGGTAAGGCTAAACGATACGCAACATCGCCCACTCGCTCGAGTACTTCGAACGGGCCAATAAACCGAGGGTGTAACTTCTCTCTCTTCCCGAATCGAATAACTCCGCGAAATGGACTAACTCTGAGAAAAGCATGCTCGCCAACCTCGAACTGGATGTCTCGTCGATGATGATCGGCGGTTGATTTCATTCTGCTCTGAGCTGTTCTGAGTCTCTGTCGGATCAACTCGACTTGCTCGGCTGTCTCCTCGATTAACTTCGAGCCGAGTACTCGACGTTCTCCGACATCGTCCCAATAAAGAGGGGAACGACATTTACGACCGTATAGTTCCTCATAAGGACCCATCTGAATAGAAGAATGATAACTGTTGTTGTACGCAAATTCGACGTACGGCAATAAAGACTCCCATTTAGCACCTCTGTCAACAGTCAAAGCACACAACATATCCTCTAACGTCTGTATAGTTTGCTCCGTCTGTCCGTCAGTCTTGGGATGGTAGGCTGAACTGAAAGCTAACTTCGTACCCGTTGCCTCGTGTAAACTCTTCCAGAATCTACTGGTGAATATGGGGTCTCTGTCTGACACAACAGTAACAGGTACTCCATGGAGTCGAACGATCCCACGGACATAAATCTCAGCGAACCGATCCAAAGACATACTCATCGATACTGGTAAGAAGTGGGCAACCTTAGTCAATCTGTCGACCACGACCCAAATAGCGTCGTGATGTTCAGACGACCTTGGTAACCCCGTAACGAAATCCATCGCAACCTCCTCCCACTTCCACCTCGGAATCGGCAGTGGTCGTAAAAGGCCTATCGGACTCTTATGCTCGGCTTTGACTTGCTGACAGGTTAAACATCGTCTTACAAAGTCGGCAACGTCTTTCTTCAATCCCTTCCACCAAAACGACCTTTTCAGGTAATGGTACATCTTTGTACTTCCTGGATGGGCTAGATAGGGTGCAGTGTGAGCCTCAGATAAAATCTCCTTCCTCAATGCTTCGACTTTCGGCAACACAATCCTGCCACGAAACTCAAAGGCCCCATCAGTGCCTCGGTGAAAACCTTCGATGCCTCCGGCACGAACCTTAGCATCAATCGTACGAATGAACTCATCTAAAGTTTGCTCTTGCCGGATTCTCTCCCTCAACGTCGGCTGGACCTGCATGGAACTCACACTCCCCAAACTGGCGGTAGGAAGTGCATCAACCAGCTGGATCTGCATCCGGGCGAACTCATGAATCAATCGACCCTGCTGAGTAACAACGTATGTCAAGTCACCCTTCACCTTGCGGCTTAGGGCATCAGCAACAACATTTGCCTTTCCCAGATGATATTGGATCGTACAATTGTAATCCTTGACGAGCTCTAACCAACGGCGTTGCCTCATGTTGAGCTCCTTCTGGGTAAAGATGTATTGCAAGCTCTTATGATCAGTAAAGATTTCGCATTGACCGCCGTATAGATAGTGTCGCCAAATCTTGAGGGCATGAACAACTGCAGCCAACTCCAAGTCGTGCGTCGGATAGTTCTGTTCATGTATTTTAAGCTGGCATGACGCATAAGCAACGACCCGGCCGTCTTGCATAAGTACACATCCCAAACCCTGCCTCGAAGCATCACTATAGATGGTGAAGTTCCGAGAAGGATCGGGTATAGTCAACACTGGTGCCGTCGTAAGCCTCCTTTTTAACTCCTGAAAACTCGACTCACAACGGTCTGTCCACTCGAACTTTACAGACTTCCTCGTCAGCTGAGACAAAGGGAGTACAATCTTCGAGAACCCCTCGATAAATCGACGATAATAACCTGCAAGACCGAGGAAACTACGAACCTCGGACGGATTCTTTGGTGCTGACCAATTCTGGACTGCAGCAATTTTGGAAGGGTCAACTTCAATACTTGCTGAAGTAACAATGTGGCCAAGAAAAGCCACTCGCTGAAGCCAAAATTCGCACTTAGAGAACTTTGCATATAACTCCTCTCGTCTAAGAGTCGAAAGAACAGCCCTCAGGTGCTCCTCGTGCTCCTCCTGGCTTTTGGAATAAATAAGAATATCATTGATAAAAACAATAACGAACTGGTCGAAAAAAGGAT